CACACACACACACACACACACATAAGTGAGAAGCAAAAACTGAAGAAATAGAAACATTTCTTTGAGGCATAACATTTCATACATAATGGTAATTCAAGGTGCTTTAATAAACATTTACATACAATTATTTTTTATTTATTTACAGGAATATGTACATGCAATTTTGATGAAAAAGTTACTTTTTTCCTTACTAGTGATAAGGTATGTAAGAAATAAAAAAGAATAAAAAGTAAAATAAAATGTAAATAATCTAAGAAATGAAATATACAGTAAAAACTAAATAAGAGGCATACATAAAAGGGACAGTAATAATAAAGTAAATGTTTTAATAAAATAATATATAAATAATTATAACATTTCATACACAATGGTAATTCAAGTGCTTTACATAAATATTTACATTAAAAAATACATTTTTATGGAAAACTTACATAAAGTATTTTCAGAATCGTTAAATAAAAAATAAAAGGTAAGAAATTAAAATGGAAGAAATGGATAAATGAATTAAAATCAAATAAAGGTGCACATTGAAAGGAAAATAAGACACGCATAAAAAGGTCATTAAATGTAAAGTTTTGTAACACATTTATAACACGCCATACACATTTCAAAGTGCTTTATAAAAAATGTGTATAATTTATGTAATTTTAGATTCAAAATTTGTGCACATTTTTTCATTTTAAATTTACATAAAAATAAAAAGTATAAGGAAATGCAAGAAATTGATCAGTTTATTAAAATTAAATAAAGATGTAAACTGAAAGGAAAATATTTTTTTTAAATGCATTTTTTACATTTAAACCCAATTCCCTTTCCAGCTTCTGAAATTGCTGTTTGCTTTTATTAATTAGCCAACACACAATGATTCTCAGTCATAATCGACAACACGCCGCATATCCTGTAAAAATGAAAGTTTCTCTCTCTCAGCTCTCTGCAGGTGGAGGCGTCTGTCTCTCTGCTGCCTCCAGTGGCTCGTTCAGGCTATCACAGGATTGTTATGATCCTCAGCAGTGCGGCGCCAGTCAACTGGACTCTGGTGGCTCCAGAGGTCAGAGGTCACGTCAGGGTCTATGTAAGGACACACTCAGGACAAAGTTGCATTTCTATTTCTGAACGGTCTGCTTTTCCAAACACTTGAATAACTGCAAACATGTATGTCGTTCAGTCGTCCAACAGCGTGAGTCTGCCGTACAGATCTCAAGCCCCCAGCCTCAGCATGACCAGCACTGTGACCTCTGACCTCCTCAGCACCCCCGACCTTCTAGAATGGGCCAATCAGAACGGCTTTCCCAAAGTAACCTCGTACACCGAGGCTGATCTGGCCAATCGCTTCGTCATCAGGTTAAGGGAAGGTGGAAAAGGTGAGTGACATTTCTCATGTGTGCATGATCTGATCATATGAACATACGGCCAAAATGTGTGTGAAAAAACATCGTTTTTTTTACAATTTTCTTGAATATTTGATCAGATTGATGACAGTTTTTAGACAAAATGGGATTAAGACGACTGTTTGAGATGGGTTTGTGGTTCAGAAGGGTCTTCAGACGGGGGGCAGGATGACATCAGCAGTGAGCCGCTCACCTGCCAGTGTGGGGGCGGAGCTCTTACTGTTACTGTGGATACACAGATGCTACAGGCTGCCCTTTCCAGAGCACAAAAAGCAGTAAAAATATTCTTTCTTTATTTATGCTAATAAATTAGTGAAACAAAGTCAAGTGCCACGAAACATATTTGGGGTCAGTAATATTTTTTTTAATTAATGGAAATTAATACCTTTATTCAGCAAAAACACATTAAATTGATCATAAGTTACAGTAAAGCATTATTATTTTAGTATCATCAAGTACTATTATAATTTGTATTAATATATATATATATATATGCATATACTTTTTATTAACATTTTAATATTAATTTTCGTATACATTTTATACAAATTACATTTTTTTATTATAAATTGTATTTAAATTTTTATTATTTTAAAAACATGTCTAGGTTTTATTAATGTTGGTTTCAGTTTAATTGTTATTTTATTATTTCAGTTAAGCTAAATGAAAAGTAATTTTGACTTGGCAAGAAGCTTAAATAAAATAAGTTTCGGGTTTTTTATATTTCATTTTATTTAAGTTAAAGTAAAGATAAAAGGTTTTTTATTATTTTACTTTTAGTTAACTATAATGACCCTGCACCAAATACATTTTTAATGCAACAAAATATTTTTTATTTCAAACAAATGCCGTTCTTTTGAACTTTCTATTCATCAAAGAATCCTGAACAATAAAATGTATCACAGTTTCCAAAAAAAATATGAAACAGACAACAGTTATTTTAAATTGTAATATCTCACAATTTTTATCTGTATTTTTAAGCTAATAAATGCAGCCTTGCTGAGCAGATTTTTCTTTTTTTCAAAAATATAAAAAAAAAATTTTACTGACCCCAAACCTTTAAATAGGTGCATATTATTTGAGATTCTTTATGTGTTCTGAATTGTTTATATTCACACAGATTTTTCCAGTGTCGACAGTGACCCTGCGGGATCACAGTTGCTGGGGTGAATTCAACGGAAGCCACTTCCTGTTGGTTTTCCCTGTTATTTCCTGTGGGACGGAGGTAGAAATGGATGAAGCGAATGGAAGAGTTCATTACACAAACACAGTGAGCGAGACACATAATTATACTTAAATATGATCAAATGGATTTTAAAATGAGTGTAATATTAATATAGCTGATGTAACTGCATGGTTTTCAGCATACAATTCTGTATTCAGTTTAATTGAAATGCAGATATTTTCAATGCAGTATCTGTGACCTCTGACCTGTCAAGATCCAGAAGGTTCAGAAAGCAGCATAAAATGATAATGAAAGTAGTTCATTTCAGTATGACACGGTTCTGTAGAGCAGTAACTAAATCTGACCCGGGTCACACCTCTTGTGTGTGTGTGTGGTTTACATGAAAGCATAAAGTTGTCAGCTGTAACCACACACCAAAAACAGACGACCCAGGTCACACTGTACCACATCCAGCGGAAAAACAGACCGTTAACAGGTTTGATGAGAGCATCTTCAAAAGACACGGGGGAAGAATGGTTCATTTCTTACTGCTATATATTTTAAATGTATTTTGAAGGTGTTCCTTTGGAAACGGAAACCATTGGAGGGTTTGAACAATGGGACGGGCGAGGAGGTGTTGAATGAGACGAGTCTGATAGCCATCCATGTGAGTGTGTCTACATAAGCAGCATCCGAACGTAGAAACTGCAACCTAATAATTGAAACTATATGTGAGCAGAAAACTGTCTTATTTTTGGTGGTTACTTTTATCAAAAGTTTGGGTTTTAGAAGAAGTCTCTTATTGCTCACCAAGGCTGCATTTAATTGATCATAAATACAGTAAAAACGGTAATATTGTGAAACATTATAATTTAAAATCAATTTTATGATTTTAAGTGTCTTTAATCATCCAAAATAGTACTTCAGAGTCAGCTTAAGCTTGCAAACAACCAACACCAAGCAACAAATAATAATAATAAAAAATAATAAAATAAATAATAAATTAAGGATGTAAAATACAGTAATTAAACGAGTGATTAAGAATATTAAAGATAAAATCTAAAAAATATGCACAAATGATGTTTGATGTTTATTTTTTAAACAGTAATATTTTGTGAAATATTGTTTACTAAAAAGTGTTTTCTATGTGAGTATATCTGTTAAACTGTAATTTATTCCTGTGATCAAAGCCGTATTTTCAGCATCATTACTCCAGTCTTCAGTGTCACATGATCTTCAGAAATCATTCTAATATGCTGATTTGCTCTCAAGAAACATGTCTGATTATTATCAATGTTGAAAACAGTTATGCTGCCCAATATTTTTGTGGAAACTGTGATACATTTTATTTTGATGAATAGAAAGTTAAAAAGAACAGCATTTATTTGTAATAGAAATCTTTTGTAACATTAAAATGCTTTTGGTCATTTGAATGCGTCCTTGATTAATAGAAGTGTTCATTTCTTTCAAGAATATTTATATATTACTATTACATTTCTTGTCCTAACAGACGGTGCTCTGAACTGCTTGTCTGTCATGTGATGTGTGGCTCACTGGTTTTTGTCTGGTTTTTCTCTGTTCAGATCAGCTGTGAAGCGTCTCTGATCATTCCTGTGAGTCCAGCAGACGTGGCTCCGTCCTCCAGGCCAGAGGAGGCGCTGCATTTCAGTCCATGGGTCCCGAGAGGCCACGCCGCTCCCGTCCTATCCATGGAGCTGTTCGTCACCGAGGCCTACGAGAGGAGAGCTGTGGGGCCCTGCGTGATCACTGCATACGACCGCGTCTATGTGCAGGTCAGCATTATCTGTCGCGTTTGTGCGTTTGTTTCTTCTCTGGCGTCTCCTGAAGGTCAGAGAGGATGATAGCGCGGCAGTGGAGTCCATAACATGATTAAGAAAGCTCAAGAATGCGAGACTCCCTTCTCCCTATGGAGGTTTCTTTAGTGTGTGTCAATGAAGGCCACAAATACAAATTTGCAAAATAAATTAATAAATTGTGGAATAACAAACTGTTTGTGTGCTGAAACACTTGCAGCTTAGTCGTGTACGATGTGAATGAGAAAACTCATAGAAAACAAAATATTAACCAACAAATATCACCAAAGGGATCTTAAATAATAGTTCAGAGTCATGGCTTGTAAGCAACCTAAACCTGGCAAGAAATTTAACAAAAATTTATAAATAAATAACACACAAATATTAAACATTAATAATTAAGAATAGTAAAGATAAGATCTAAAACTAAAAATATATACAAATTTTTGCATTAGATTTGTATATTTTCTGAAGAACTAGTGAGATTATGAAGGTGGGTTGCTATATATTGCTATTACTATTATTATTATCTCTAGTATTTTCTGAAGGAAAAAGTGAAGTTGCTAAGATTGCTACGGTGGCTTTTAGCATGTGGTAAAGGTGTTCTGAGTAATTAAGAATATAAAGAAAAAAACTATAAACGAAAAAATATGTACCACTTAGGGCTGCACGATTAATCGAATGCTATTGTCATGCGCATCTCGTCAGTAAAGCCGGTTCTGTGATTAGTAGTAAATCTCCAGCACGTGCTTTCAGATGGAGCAGCGTTTACTACACAGAGCTGTAGTTCACTGACAAGCTACACAAAATCGCGTTCATAATCGCAGACGATTTAATCGCACGATTATGAAATCGAAGAAATCTGTTTATGAAAAGCTGTTTGCGTAGCTTCTCAGTGCACTACGGCTCTGTGTAGTAAATGCTGCTCCATCTGAAAGCACGTGAAAATACAACATTTAATAACATGTTTTTACTCCAAACTCACTTCATAACGTCAGTCGAGTGTAAAGTAAATCCTTCTGTGAGATGATGTGGCATCTTACACAGAATAAGGCACGCAACATATTTCATAGTATTCTAAGCAGTGATAAAGGCTATGTCCATTAGTATTGCATTATTATATATTTTATTATAATAAAAATTATAATAAGACGAACTCAGATAAACCATATATTGTCGTAGTCATGTGATTATTAGTCACGTTGAATTAATAAAAGAATTTAAATCTTCTGTTTATTCAGCAACTGCTATAGGGATTTCCTGGGTTTCTTCTGCGAGGCGTATTTGGAGTTTCAGCGCGAGAGCGCCCTCTGGCCTTCGGATGGAGATTTACTGCTTCACTGAAAGATACGCATGACAATCACAGCTTCTGCCTAATCGCGATTTATCGCCTTTGCGCTTTAATTTAGTTTAATCGTGCAGCCCTAGTACAACTAATAGTGTTACATTTCTATTGTTTTCATGTTACTATGAGGTTGCCAGGGTGTTCTGGGTGGTTGCTATGCTGTTGTTACGCATGTGGTTGCTGGGGTGTTCTGCGTGGTTGCTAGGCTGTTGCTATGTGGTTGCTGGGGTGTTCTGAGTGGTTGCTACGCTGTTGCTATGTGGTTGCTGGGGTGTTCTGATTGGTTGCTATGCTGTTGCTATGTGGTGGCTGCACTGTTGCTATGTGGTTACTGGGGTGTTCTGAGTGGTTGCTAGGCTGTTGCTATGTGGTTGCTGGGGTGTTCTGAGTGGTTGCTACGCTGTTGCTATGTGGTTGCTGAGGTGTTCTGAGTGGTTGCTATGCTCTTGCTATGTGGTTGCTGGGGTGTTCTGATTGCTTGCTACATTGTTGCTATGTGGTTGCTGAACTGTTGCTATGTGGTTGCTGGGGTGTTCTGAGTGGTTGCTACGCTGTTGCTATGTGGTTGCTGAGGTGTTCTGAGTGGTTGCTACGCTCTTGCTATGTGGTTGCTGGGGTGTTCTGAGTGGTTGCTTCGCTGTTGCTATGTGATTGCAGGGCTGTTCTGAGTGGTTTCTATGTTGTTGCTGGGGTGTTCTGAGTGGTTGCTACACTGTTGCTATGTGATTGCTGGGCTGTTGTGAGTGGTTGCTTCGCTGTTGCTATGTGGTTGATGGGGTGTTCTGAGTGGTTGCTACGCTGTTGCTATGTGGTTGCTGGGATATTCTGGGTGGTTACTATGTGGTTGTTGGGGTTTTCTGTGTGGTTTCTAATAGACCAATTACCGGTTTGTAAACATTCAGGATGCGCGCGCATCATGGTTGCAGAAAACCCGGGAGAGATAGCCTTTACAGCTAGAGAATTTCACGGATACGGTACAAAATAGTTAGGTTTAAAAAGATTATAAATTATATTGATTAGATGTCATTTTCAAAATGTTCTATGCATATTACAAGAGCTTGTCACCCAGCGATAAGCACTGTTATTCAACGAAATTGACGTTAGAGAGTGCGATAGTCTTACAGATCCGAAACAGGGATGACGTTTGTTGTGGGCGGAGCCTATCTGGAGGCAGAAACTGACGGTTTTCAAGCGGCAGTCTATGGAGCCATGGAATAAAAGAATAAAAAAAGGTCAATTTGATTTTATATTTCAAAATTATGACTTTATTCTCGCAATTCCGAGATTATATCTCACAATTCTAATAAGGAAAAACAACTCGTCATTCTCTCTTTTCCCCTCGGCTCTTCTGGCTTTTTTCCCTCAGATTTGACAAACTCACTATTTTTGAGTAAAGTCCGAATTAGGAGATATAAACTTGCATTTGCGAGAAAAAAAATTCAGAATTGTAAGTTAAAGTAATTAATTGTTAGTAAAAAATGTAATAGTA